GGATATTCATTATTTAAATATTTTGCATTTAAATTTATTTGCAAGATTGATGTATCTATTTGTTGCGATTTTTAAGGTAAATGTAGAGCCTACATTTTGTGTACAGATTCTCTAAATACACATACAGGAATACATTTGTTAAGTTGTTATTAGAATTAAATAAGGTTTCACGTGGAAAATTCTACAAATAATATGTTTCTAATAAATTCAAATAATACTTTGTGACATGAAATGAATTTAGGTTTTTTTTTATCTGTTTTGGTTAAAAACTCGATTTTCGTTGTTAAAATATATGCAAAAATATAGAGAAAAAACTCTTATATGTTTTCATATTAATTTTATAAATACAGTAGTGTTATTCTGTTACAAAAATCTGCTACGAACTCGATGTCGAGTGCAACATTGTCACAACAAAAGCTAATAAAGGTTTTGTTTAATTACACCTTTATGCTGTGACAGCGCTGTATTTGTCGATTTCAAGATTATTACAGAGTGGTATTTCTACGGTATCTCTCAACCATTTGGTAATAATATTCAAAACTTATCTTAATCATATCCACTAAATAGAACAACATTATTTCCCTTAGTCTTCTAGTGAGGCAGTTGGTAAGGATAAGTTTTTATGATAGCGATTGAAATATAAATATACATGATAATAATCGATTCAATGGTGACAAATAGGACATAACATTAAAATATGTTGCATTCGTATGATAATTGAATATATTACGTTAATTATACACAATAACTACAAATTCACATAAAATACACGACACCACGTGAGACAGGTTTAAGAACAAGAATTGTCAATGAATTTTAAATTTATTTTTATTAAATTTATTTTGTTTTTACCTAGAAAATACCTAGTTATTACCATATACAAATCTTGAATGTGAAATAAGTTAACTAGTATAAACTACTTTTACTTATGAATAACATACGAGTAGAATATTGTAATTACATCTTAGTAAATTCCACCAAGGAACTTTAAAAACTTAGAGAAAAAAAAAAGCTTAAAAAGTCTAACTAGTCACGGTTATCCAGGATATATGGGATGATAATGACATCGAAAATGATAATATAATAAATGAATGAAATATGATAAAAAATAAGATAAATTTACTTGGACAGTATTTCATAAATCGATTTAATTTATTTTAAAAAACGTTTAAGATTTATATACGTTTTAATGAGTTTATATTCTCAATAAATCAATTTTGGGCATCTTTTTAAGTTAGTTTAGTCTTCGCGAATTAATAGAATGGAAAAATACAAATACATATTTTTGTGTTTGTTTCTTCTTTTTCCGTTTTTAATAAACATTAACAATTTGTATGTAAGTTTATTGAATTATTTATTGATACCATATCGATAATTGCATATTTTTAAAAGTGTATCATGCAGATATTAATGCGCGATTCGGTCGAGAAATCATTATAATTCACGTAAACAAACACGTGGTATTGTTAATGGGAGATTATACGAGTATTTTAAACTACGCAATAAAATGAGATCTGCAATATTTTGTGACTCATGTGCGGAAGATATTGCCTTAGCAAATTGTATAGGAGGCGATGTGTCCACTTGCTATACCATAGCCTCTATGATTGGAGTATAAACAACAGTTTCATCACCAGCCCTTTTACGTCCCCACTGCAGGGGCTCAGGCCTTCCTTATGGATGGTTAAGGAGGATGGGCCATGACCCCTCCACGCTGGCCCAATGCGGAGGAGGGTATTAACGACTGCAAATGCAGCCGGGACCAACGGCTTAACGTGCCTTCTGAAGCACGGAGTAGCTCGAGATAATAATTTTTTGGTCACCCATCCCGTGACCGACCCTTGCGAAAGTTGCTTAACGACTACGATCGCGGGCCGCGGCGCTTATCCACTAGCTGTAATTAATAAGGTCTCGAGGGACATCTACCAAAACAGAAACAGAAGTTCGTAATATTTAGTTAGTTTGAGACCTTATTTTTGAGGTGAAAATGCAATGAAAGGGGATGATAACGTTTTATTTTCGTAGTAAGCTCTGTAATGTTAGCTATTTTTTTTAATTTCGCAATTCTAGAAATGTATACCATGAATATCGTCCCAATTTTTAATATGGCAGATTCTGTAGGACATTATCGTAGACCTTTTAAGTTTAAACGTTGAAAAAAGTATTTAACATTTTTTTATTAGTTGTTTTAAAATAAAGTCTCATGTTTTAATTTCAAAATTGAAAGGGTTTCATACAAATTTATCTTCTTTCTTAAGCTGTTAAGAGGCGAATTTCCTAAGATCCCTTCTTAGTGAAAATTTCAAGATTGTAGATTAATGAATAACGTATTAATAAATTATTAAAAATTACTATTATAATATTTGCGGTATACTTATTCATTAAATAAATGCAAAAAATAAATGTACCTAACATCAAAGGTGACTTAATATATTCCATTTAATGTTTGAGTCATATCCAGTAAACAATAGAATACCGAGGATTAGGAAGAAAGCACGCTTAATAACTATGAAATCACCCAAGTGGCTACGGGATTTCCATTAGCTAATACATTTTATTTCCTTGTATTATCTGATTTAATAAAAAAAATGGTTACACTACATTACCATGAACCAATTTTTTATTACTAATTTGATAATCCAGGCTTAGAAATTATCTTTAAACCAAATTCCATCAAAATTATCACTATGGTAACGTTTCAATGTTCTATACAAAGTTCCACTACCACTTTCATCTCTTTATTTGCAGTTTTTCGGGATAAAATAAGTCTGTGTCCACTGGATTTGATGTAGCTTCCCTTACACGAACGAATTTCCTATATTCTCGTCTCGGGTCTGGGTGTCGTATTACCTAAGTTATACTCATCTTGTAAAACCACCTAGGCATGTGAAGATGTCTCATATTTAATACATTACATTTTTTTTAAACGTTATCCTGTCGAGTTAGGGTTTCGTATAATCAAATAAAACGTACTTAAACGTAGGAACTTTCCTATTCAATTCGATACCATCGATAGAGAAAGCATGTACACCAGCATTGGGTACATTAATAGGCTGGTGATGATGAAAAGGTAATAAAAGTTCTGTTTCATTGAGCTTCTATGACGTGACAACGTTGCGTTTAACGACGAATTCGAGACTATTATAGAATAAGCTGGACAGTTAAAGCATACAACTAAAAAGTATTTTCATCTCACCTATAAAATGAGTTGATAGACGAGTTAATGTTTTCCATTCACGCGTGTATTTGCCCATATAAGTATAATGATTGTATCAAGTGTCTATCAACGACGAATATCAAATTGTGCTTGTATATATATTCTTTACACATGATATTTTAATTTGATGAAATTATAAATAATAACGTACTGAATTTTATTTAACGAATATTTGTCAAATAATACTCACTCTCCCTGGCTAAGTGGTTTGTTCGTTGGTTTCAAGGTGTTGTCTGAAGTCCAATATAGAAAATAAACGTTTCTGTATTGTCTCGGGTCTGGTTATTATGGTACTGTCAGTAAACTAGTATTAGCTTACATACCAAATTTAAGCTTTCGAGGACTTCAGAAAGTATATAATATCAGTGAGGATTTTTTTTTAATATTTTGAAAGATATTTAAAATTTTGTTTGCAATTAAAATTTTATGTATATTATAAATCCATTATTGACACCAAATTAAGAGAATTTTTTTTTTATCCGGTACAATCCAAACCCAACTGAAAAAAAAACCGAAGAAGGTCTTCATGATAAAGTAGGAAGTGTCTATGTTGGGCTTCACGTCTGGTTGGCCCATTGCACATTGAATAAAAGCTAGAAAAGCAATCAATAGGGCTGGGGCGTACGAGGTCAATCAGGTTATGATATTTTTATTTAAAAATACATTTTAGTTCAAAAGTTTTTGTATTTTTTTATAAAATTACAGTATTGATTATTAATGTTCTCCTCATTCATGATTTTGGTCTAACATTGCATGAGACAGGTGAGAATATAGTCAAAAACTTTATTTTTACCTACGCAATTAATTTCTAAATTGATGGATTTGAAAAAAGTTCTGACGATAATAAATAAAACATTATAACAATGTGTATAATATATTGATTTTTCATATTTTCACTCGCACTATCTATAAATGAAACCACTTTTAAACGGTTCATCGCGTTTGTATTTACTTTTATTGACCTTTTGGATCCTTTAGAGGTTCCGTGTTCACATAAGACTTAGGTGTTGATTGTCTTTTTAATTAAGAGTATAGCTACCTTCAAACCTATGATATTGGATACATTTATAATACAAACAATTTTATACTTTATGGCAACGATATATTTATTAAATTAAATTATTTAAAAAACACATTTGACTTATGCCTTGAAATGGTGTAACCTTACCAACCTGCTCCGACTTCAGGTACCTTGGGTCATTAATACAAAACGATGGCGATATTGACCGTGACGTGAGGAATAGAATAAATGCGGGATGGATGAAATGGCGAGAGGGCTCAGGAACGATATGCGATCCACGAATGCCCCTTAAACTTAAGGGGAAAATCTATAAAACGATCGTAAGACCTGTCGTACTGTATGGTTCTGAATGTTGGGCTACAAAAGGGACGGATGAAAGGCGAGTACATGTGCCAGAGATGCGAATGTTGAGATGGATGTGTGGAGTGACGCGAATGGACAAGATTAGAAATGAGTACGTAAGAGGAAGCCTGAAAGTTGCACCTGTGACGGAGAAAATGAGGAGTAATCGACTAGCGTGGTATGGGCATGTTATGAGAAGGGACGAAAGTCATGTTACGAAAAGAGTGATGGGTATGCATGTGGATGGATATGGGAGTAGAGGCAGACCGAAGAAAAGATGGATCGACTGTGTGAAAGAGGATATGAATAAGAAAGGTGTGGATGTGGAGCTGACGTCTGACAGAGAAGAATGGAAGAAGAAAACATGTTGTGCCGACCCCACGTAACGTGGGATAAAGGGCAGGAGGATGATGATGACATTTGACTTATTAATTTAATACTGGCTACCATATTCTATCACCCGTTTAATATTTGGGAGTCTTGTCTGAGAAGAATTTCCGATACAAATTCCGACAAGACGGACCCAAGGAAGACAAAAGCATTACATAAGATTTGACAATCCAAAAATACTTGCGCCTAAACAAAAATTCTTCCGAATTTAAATAGAAATGAAGGTTGGCATATACCACCGGCTTGGGATGCAGAAATTATTCAGACAAAATCTCAATCCAGATCGCACATTACAAAATCTAAAGATACAGTTACTTCATTCTGTAAATATTAAATCAAAGGGAGCAATTCACTTTTCTTGTAGGAGTTTGTTTCGCCAGTTCTTATCAGACAAGACTCCCAAATTTGGAACTGGTAGTAGATTACGGTAGCTAGGGGTAAATAAATAATTCAAATGTATTTTTAATTTAATAAATGTAAACGTTGCAATAAAGTTTTAAATTGTTTGGATTGTGAATGTGTACAAAAGTACTGAATTGAAGATATCTTAAGACAATCGACACCTTAATCTTATGTGGACATGGAATATGTAAATGGTCCGAAGCGTCAATAAAACTAAATAAAAACTCTTATTTAATTATAAATACCATTATTATTAATATTAATTTTAGTCTTTATAAGACAACTTTATCACATTCAGTTAACCTTATATTCACAATTTCATTCGCAATCTTAGTTTATAAATTTAAGCTAATATTTTTTTTATTAAGTTTAAAATGTGCAAAAAATGGCACGTATTGGTTTATAGCGGAATTTTAACGGCATCGCTTGTTGTATTTTCAAATTATGCTGGGCTATGGTGGCTTCGCTTTTTAATGAGGAAATAACTATATAGAAAAAATCATTAAATAAGATTGTTTGAAAGATTTGCAGTGTTTCTTGGATGAAGTCTTGTACAATAAAAATTATCTATGAATGAAACAAAATGAATTTCGAATATTTATAAATAAGTCATAGTGTAGTTTTTGTTCTTCATGTTGCTTTTACGTAACATCTAAGATAAGTGTATCTTTGATTTTTGCAAACTGTGAATTTTAGTTTTTTACTATGTTACGTGTAAAGCAACGAAAATTGCCGTCTTTACAATTTTGACGTCATCGTTTAGTGTGACACCATCTTGTGACATTGATTTTACTAGTTTCTTTTTTGATTACTTCCTCATTTTTATATAAATTGTCAATATTTCTTACAATAAAATTTTTCAATATCGAGTTTTGATACTAAAGTAGAACTTGTAGTTATGATGACTACTATTTTTAAGTTGTTAATGTTATTATAACGCCATCTGTTGGTGGAAGCGTTGAAATGAACATCATTTCTTCGGGTGGGGTTCGTGGCCAACTTGAAAGTTAATGCCTAAATCTGCAGGGTTCACTCCGGCGATGGCTGTTGCTATCGGTCTGGCTATTGCGACTCCTGAAGACGCTACTGCTGTCGCAACAGGACGAGACGCGGCTAAACCATTTTCACCAATCACCGCTAAACCTAGAATGAAAATATTAAAAGTGTAAATATTCTGTCAAATTTTTATCTTAGATTCAAATAGATTATTTGATCCGTTATTACAAGGCAACCACCTTGTCTCATATAAATTCACTCCTTAGATTTTCAATAAATGTTGCATTCCCGACTTGGTTACTCTACGAGAATTGTGAAGTTTTAATAGTTAGGCGACTATACATTCTACAAATACTTCTAAAACAACACAAAGCTACTCCTTTGGATGCTAAACTTTATAAAAATAAGCGTACCATAGCTAACGTCTGCAGTCTCCCAAAACACCAAACGGCTTTTGTGTGTCGCCAGCACAAATACCTATCTAGGCTTCTTTACTATAGAATTAACAAATAAATCTATTTATACCCACTATCTCTTTACGAAGCCAAAAGAAAAATAAAGAAATGGCTACTAGCCATGAGCTATGATCAAACGGAATCCATATTCAACAGTCAAAGTATTTTAACCCTTCCCTCCATGCACTAACGTCTATTGTTTCACATACTATCACTAATACTTCGTGTTACTCTCCACACATGATTTCCTCTACATGTCTATTATTGTACTGGATTAGATTAAGTAATATAATTGTATTTTATCGTTTATATTAATTATTAGTTACTAGTAATATGAAAGAGGGCGCTGACTTCTGTCACTCAGGTTATACCTAGCACAGAGGTCAGAGACTTCACAATGCCTAATTGTTAATTATAGATAAATATATAAATCTTAAAAATATAACAATGTCTGTTTAGACCAGCAAGTAAGTTTTAATTTATTTAATAGTATTTTTACGAGAGAATCGTACACCGGGGTCAAGGAAGGCATTTCTATTCTCTGATGTCCCGATGTTGTTTGATACATTAATTTATTGTGTTTGGTCCCGCGTGGTGGGACCAGGTCTGTTCTCCCTATTCGATTTCATTCATAGGGTAACCCTGTGTTCCAACATTGATATACTGATGATGACGATGGAACAATGATTCATTAATTAAATTCACTTACCAACTGGTTTCGCTTCTGCAATAGTGGCACCTTGGAGAGGTATTTGAGTTTCATCATCGGTTGGAGCCTCGATACTCACACCCTCTTCTTCTATCTGAAAGTCATTTAAGAAATATTTGTAACTAACAGAAAAATTTTCTTTTACATTTAATTATCCTGGAGAATTTTAACTATTTTAAAAGTTATTCTTGACATACTACGTATATTTTTTAATATTATATTTATTGACTTACTACAGAATAAAGAATTTTTTTTACGCATTTCAATAAAGTGTTACTATACAAAATATAATCCTAATCTTAAAGGTAATTTTCTCGGGTAATCAGTAAAAAATCGTACTGTAGATATACATGTGTCTATAAGTTTAAAAGTATCACGTTTATCGATACTCACATATTCATCGTCGTATTTGGATCTTATAGTGGCATTGTTTTTGAAGAGCATGTCAACATCTGTGCCAATATCATCAATGATTTTAATCGTGTTTGAGGCAATCTCTTCGAGAGAAGAAAGTTGTTCCTTGAATTTGGCTTTGTCATCGTTATTCAGAAAGCCAAGTCTTCTACCCAAATTGTGTAGTTTAAGGAGACTTCCTGAAGTTGTTCTGAGACGAATTAAGTTTGCAGCGAGTACTTTTGAAAGGAGGTTTTCGTTACTATGCTTCAATACATTCTCGCTGCTTATTTTTTCTTCTGGAACGATTTTTTCGCTTGTTACAGTGCCTGCGTTATCTTTTTTTACCTCTAAATAATTCCCTTTTGCGCCACCGTAAAATGGGAGGTACTGGATATTAGCTCTGAAAGAGAGAAATGTTTATGTACTATTTTTGTCAAATACTTTCTTTTATTTGTTAATCTTTTCATAATTTGCGATGGTTGCCTATAGGTATATTACCTCTATATTATTATAGTCATCGAAAAAATTATAACGTCATTCTTACAACATTTAGCCTAATATATTTATTTTAATCAGTTTGATATTAATAGTTTGTATCTAGTGTCATACTTGATTTATTTACAAACATCAACTCCAAGACATAAGAATTTATTTATCTAAATTAATATAGCTGCTCATAGTAGCTGTAATAGATATTCTGATTTAGCTATAGACTCTTGATATTGAACCAAGAAGATCGATTTTGTTTGCCAACGTAGTGTAGATGAAACGTCATTCGTGCATAACCATAGCATAATATAATTCATTTAACCGTTTCGTGTCACCACGAGGGTTTGATAGAGATACAAATAATATTTTTAAACTTTTAAACTTACATATAGGTTCATACAAAAAGTATTTTTGTATTTCTATCAACTCGTTGCGTTTGTTTTGTTTACGGTATTTCTTTTAAATATTACTACAAAATACATTGACTAATAATTATCTTATATATTTCATGTGGGTAAATCGTGGGATTTCAGAGTTTCATATTATTATCTCAGATCAGCAGTAGCCAACACGCGGAATATCAAATTATTAATTTAACATGACACTATGACATAATTCTTACAAATATGATGAGCACCAATGAACAGGATACATTTTATGACAAATGAACAAACAAGAAAAGAGAAGTAGGTAAGAAAAATACAATTAATCTATTTGAATTTTAAGCTAAAAAATAGTGCCCCATATCTGGGTGACAATGGTATCTAGTACGGTATTATTCAGAAGCACTGAACTTATTTAACACGTGAATTATTTAACGGCCCATGATTATTTTAAAATTTACCTTAAGTATGTAATAATTAATTTAATATTCCTCATAAAAGCATTCTATAAAATTAATGTTCTTGTCAAATTTTACGGTAGCTTGCCATCTGATTTTGAACCAGCTGAAAATGTATGTTCAGCAGTTTTTTGCAATTCTTGGAAGCCCTTAATGTGGACAAATTTTCAATCGTCATTTAAAGAAAGAATAAATATGCTTTTTGTCTATTTTACGATTATCTACTATGAATATGATGTCCGTAGCCTTTATTTTGCCACCTTGTAGCTCTGGCCTGCCAAAAGCTACTAAATTAGATAGGTACCTTTAGATATTTATCGATTAGTCATGTTCTATATGTATTTTTTAAACTTGCTATAAATACAGTGCTGAAAAATAAATTTGAAACTAATTAATTCTTTGCATTTGAAAAAAAACCGATAGGAAGGGTTCCTTATAATAAATGTGTATCTATGATAAAGTAGAAAGTAAAAAATGAATAGGAGTGAGTTGAAAAAGACCTAGATTCAATTCCAATTTTATTTTCTTCAGCATTATTTATTTACAGCAAGTTATAGCCTAACTCGATGAAAAAGTAAATTCTTATTTATATTTTATTTCCACTCTTTGAAAATCAACTCTTATATTAGCAACAGGCACTAGACGAACATTCATGCATTTAAAATTAGCCATGATAATATGAGTAGCGTGTGATTTAATTTCTTTACTAACTCTTTAGTAAGCCTTCAGATTACCAAGTTTCAGATTCTCTTAGAAGATAAGTTTAAATCTTATACTATTAAGCATTTTATTCATTTACGAAAACAGACCTAGACCAGATTTCTCTCATACATTCAAATGTGAAAAAGATTATGTACCTTAAAACTTCAATCAGTTCGCATAATAAAGCAATTTTTCTTTATTGAGAGGAAGCCACTGGAGGAAGCCATTCAATGAAACAAGCAATAACATAACAACTTTTGTAATAATTTAATTTTATAGGTAATGTCACAATAATCATAAATAATTTATTAATGTTTAAATTCGGAAAATACTTTCAAGGTAACAGTCGAATGAATTTTCCAAAGAATTACACATTATAACTCTTATTATCTACATTAATGATCATAAAGTTTAAATAACATTAATAAAATGTCAGACTGTCAATTTCATTGCAAGCACAAAGAATGAAATGAAAATTTCTAAACTTGGGAAAAGAGAATAACATTATAATACACGTATTATTAATATGAATAATACTCGTACAGATTAAGATCAGATTGAGCATGCGCGATGCCACCTGGTCCAACGATGGCCGATGCTACTGGACTATGAACAATAGAGCCGATATCATTTCGGGATACAAGTACGTTCGATACAGGATTAGCCACTGCCACTCCTCGAGGACTATTCATCGCGTGCGCCGTGGGTTTTAAATACAGAATGAAAGAATCTTTTGCCATCCAGGGCCCTTTTACAAAGCTTGCACCGTTGTACTGATATTCGTCTGACCTTCTGCTGAACCCAGAACTCTTTCTTCCGTAATCTCGTTGGAAGTCTCCCCATCGTCCTCGGTGGAATCTAACAACGAAGAAATATTCAAAGTTAATAGGTTATAACGTGTTTAGAAAAACTAAAAATATTACAAAGGCGGTCACGTTTGTTCAGTAGGATGGTAATATATAATTGGGCCAGTTGCAACAACTTTCCCTTCAGGAATGGCTTCTAATAATCGTGGTACAGAACCATCAGTTGCTGATTGTTCTTGGAGACGAGAGACGACAGATGAGAGGTCGGCGTCTGGTGACAGAGCGATGATACGTGCAGATGGGCCCGCCACAGCTAGACCTCCAGGCTGCGTGTAGGCAAGACCTCCTGGCCCAACGATTGCAGTTCCACCTCTTCCAGCAGTTGCTACACCTCCCGGACCAGCAATAGCCACACCACCTCTTCTAACTTTCAATCGATTTATGATGAACCCAGGACTAGGTACCACAGGTTTCTTATTCCCAAACCAAGAGAAATCTCCAAAGGGAAAACGAAGATCGCCATCATCTGAATTGACAGTCTTTGTATCTTGTGGTTGTTCTTCTATATACGACGGTCTTGAAGGTTTCTTAGTAGTTGATTGCGATGAAAAATACTTCTTGACTTTTTTTAAGTTTTCAAGATTATTCTCAATTGATGATTTGGTTGATATGGTACGCTTTTTTAATGCTCTCGCTTGCCTTGAATTTGAAACTGTACTTGGCAAGTTCTCTTCTAAATTTTTGATAATACTCTCATTATCAATATTATCATTTTCAACTGACTTTTGTTTTCTGTTACACACGTCAGCACTTTGTCCATAATCTATAAGATTATTCCAACTACCTCCACCCAAGAAATTAAGGAGAGGGTCTTTAATTAAAATAGGAAAAAAAGGTGCTAGAGGCCATTGAAATGGAAAAGGTAGTGAAGGGCTTTGCCGTGTTTGATACGCGCCACTAGCATCTATAGTGTTGACATCGCCATTAAACATGTTATTGCTTGGCGTTGGCATAACAATAACAGGTATGCTGGTCATGTAAGGTAGTGATGTCATTGCGATTTGTCTTTGATTTAATCCAAATGGCATATTTCTGGAATTCCGTGGTCCACCTAAATCATTGTTGTTTATATTATTACTTTCTTGATACTTGTGACTTAATGACATTGGATTTAATTTTCCTGCTGTGATGATTTGTTGAATTTTGTCCAATATTTCCTTATCGATGACGTATCCTCCTCCAGTTTGTGGCTGTGTATTATAATTTACAGGTGGCCTTTTTACGGGAGTTTTGAGACCATCATTGACGGCTTTTATTTTTTCTATAATGTCTTTTGTATTACCACCTCCCACTTCGACACCTGGATCATCTTCGTAAATAAGAGACCTTTCTTCTTTACTATTAATTTCACGAGGTTCTTCTGTCTTGATAGTTAGAGGTGTCATTGCCCTGAAATAAACAAAAAATGATTTGAATATTATATTCATATGGTATTACTTCATTACCATAACCAAGCGAATTATTAATTTAGCGTGTAATGTTTGTAAAGTGGTAAGCAGTGTATTAAAAAGCTTGAGTCAATAATATGAATTGAAGTGCGTCATACCTGAACCATAGGATCCCAAAATGGCGAATTGCTTGAGCACATACTTTTGTAACCAAGCCAAACGATTCCATGTTAGTTGGTGCTTTTAAAGGTTGTGCATTACAATATAAAAAATATTCTGCTGTATATAAAATTAGATTACACTGGAAATTGTGAAGCAGGATCGGATAGTTAATTGTGTTGATTTTTTTAACGTGGTGCGTACTTCCATTAATTATTATATTTGTACGTTGCTTCATTGTTCAAAATATACCAAATTGTTAAAAAAAACTTATTTTTTTATATAATTTAAAAGAGAAATATACAAAATTAAACTAACTCATAAATATCTTTAGCGAAATAAGATTAAAAAACATTACCAGCCCAAAAAAAAATCTGTCCTGTTGGGTCTCGGGAAGCTCAGTGTTAGAACAGTCACCCGAATTGACGAAAGTTTATGAGCTCCAGTCCCAGTCAATACCTGAGGCTGGTGAAGTTTTATTTTTCATCAAAGATATTTACCAGTATAGCATTATGAATGCATAATTGATCAAATATAATAATTAAACTTACTCATTATTTGAAGGCTTCGATGACACTCCAATGATGAAAATTGCTGCTAGAATCTGAAATGAAAACAAGGGAAACTTTTACATTTTGTTATTAAACCAATGATGTTAGTAAAATCACTCATAATTTACTGTCAACAACACACGTCAGGCTATACAAAAGTGCCAAATTCCTTCACTAGATTTTAAACCATAATGTAGTGAGAGTATAGTACAAAATCACTTGCGTTGCAAGACATATTGTAGTAGCGTGCATGCGTGTTTACACCTTAAAAAACCTTAATTAAAGTCACTACTTCATAATTATAGTTAAAATAAAATGTAAACAGGGAATCAAAAATCGCCCGATTGGCTTCGAGTAAAGGATGGTATGTCCTTTTTTGCTTGACTTGGTGGGGTCACTTCCGTGGTCCCAGATCAAGAATAAAAACTACGACACAATGTAAACGGTGCTAATTGGGCCGAAACAAGTGATTTTTTGAGATTCCTTACTAACAAGGACAATCGGAACCATTCGGACAGAAGACTTTAGAGTCATAAATTAAATTATTATCTATTGAATAATCGTCATTTATGTTTAGATTATAAGTATTGTAATTATAGTTTTTAGTTTTTAAAACGGTGTTATACGGCGACAGACAAACATGACGACTCTATAAGAGTTCCTTTTTTAGTTGATAGATTTATGTTGTAGGAGTAATTGATTTATGCTTTTGATATGTTACGGTTCGATATAGATACATGTTTTCCAAATATGGACGTCTTAATATGGCTAAAAATCAGAATATCGATTACAGACTGAAGTGACTGAACTACAAACGATACGACTTCTGGTTTATGAAAGCTTGTTTGTTGGAATTATTTAATGAATTGAGCAATCTTTGAGCATTATTCTTTGAATGACACAGGATTATGATTCGGATATTTCCTAAAAAGATTTTGCTAAAGATTAGCAACATTCTATATGTAGCTGTTTTCATCTACATTCATTAAATTATTAAAAGGCCGCATAATATTCTTTATTAAAATACACTTTTGTATAGTCCAATATTTTTACCACCAGAAATTCCATTAAAAATAATTTCTAGGCTTACTTTAATACAGACAACATATAGATAATAGAAATACTTAAGAGAAAACTATACTTTAATAAATGTTTGTACGGAACCCACCCACGATGGGTCCGAAATACTCAGTCGATGCCGGTTCTTTTTTTTTTCTTAAAATAAACTTCGCTCTAGATCTAGATCTACATTATAATTATTTTTGGGCAACCTTATTAAAGAGTCGCTTTCATTTTTCTGTTGGCATACAAACATGAACTTGACCTTGCTCTGGAACTTGTTTCTACCTTCATTAATTAAAAGATTTTATTGTTGTACCGTTCACAGTACGGCAAATGTGACATCTTTTCATTATATTCTTGGAAAGTACTGTGTACCTATACTTTTTTGGTTCGGGTTATAGATATTTTATATGCAATATAAATGGAATCTAATGATTTTAATCTTATGTAAAAACTTAATTCATATGCTTATAAAATATCCAAGGCTTATTATGCTTATAAAATATCAAATAGCGAAAGATTGAATCTTTCGCTAACCTGTCCTCTGATTTTGTAAAAATCCAAACCCGAAATCGAATTCACGTCATTTAGTGTGGAAATTCTATTGATTCTATTTTTTGTATAAAAATACAAAACATAATTAATTTAATATACTTGTCTCAGATATTCTATTCCTATGTCATTTCGAAACTCACTTCACTTATGCCACGAAACGTTATTACCGATTTAAGGTTGAGCGGAAGTGAAGTTCCAAGATTCAGACTTGAAAAAACCAGAGGATCATTTCTGGGTAAATGTATTGCCATGTTTAATTGTTAAATTTATGTAAATGTCATTACTTATGATAAAAAGCTAGTAAGTTTCTTTCGCTTGTTCTTCTTGTCAGCTAAAAGACGTCCTGAACAAGTGGTAGGGGAAAAAAAATTTTTTTGGACGATTCAAAAGTGCTTGTAATAGCCTACTTGAATAAAGATATTTTCATTTCATTTCATTTCAGTGAATTCGAATTCGGGTTTGGATTTTTATAGAATCGCAGGGCAGGTGCCTTCTCTATATCTATTGAACTATCTAGGTATTTTTTCTAGTTCGTACTAATACGACGAATGTAAGATCTAACTTGTTTGCATAAGGCGTTGAATGGTGGGTTGATGTGCCAAGAGGTGCTGGACCAAATCAACACAAGTGTACCACTTACAAATTCTCGTCGCCCAACGTCAGTCTTTCTTTAGTGCTCCAGTAAGTAGAACCGATGTGAGTAGAGGTGCCCCTGTGCCAAGGCTGCTCAACTCGTACAAAAGTTGGCATGAAATTTTGGACTTCGAAATCTTTCATGATAGCGATCTATTATTTGACTTTAAAGTGAAATACTGTAAATAGTAACAATGCTGTGTATGTCTATAAATATGACAATTGGTTAATTTTATAATAAAGCTAAATTTGACGCGCTGTGGAGAGGGAGAAGAACACATGACACGGTTTACTATAAGATGCTATTTATTTCACTTGTTTGTTGGTTATTTGTTTACAGATATAATAAAAAAAATTGATCAAAATCTCTGTAGGTCACGTGAAAGGTTAGAAATAAAAAAAAATATATTACTTTGCCTAAAAGATAATGAAGAATGTGTAGAATGCCCGGTCAATTTGATTTTCTGAATAATTATTATCAAAATGCTCTCTCATATTGGACATTTTTCATAATGACCCGGTCATGTATTACTCAATTTATCACTTGGTTTATAACTTGTCAAGTTCTAACAGTCAGACAACTTTATGTACTAGCTACTACCTTAAGGCAACATTTTTCAACAATTTACGTTCAAGGCAAGTCTCGTCGTAATAATCTAGTAGTCACAACAAAAAAATGAATACATCTTTTGCCCAGAGATTTTTTGTTTTTAATGGACCACATCTTTATAACAAATTGAACAAATTTTTATCTTTCTATGCCCTAAATCGTCATACGTTTAAAGTGGTTACCAGAGATTGGCTTCTTAAACAGTCTTATGCACAAACTGAGTCACTACTTGTCGCCTTGGTGTGATCGATACTGGTTATTGGCATTATAGACTTCATCGAAGTCCTTTCTCTAGTTTTTGCGTGAAATAGTAACAAACATGCGTACATCCATACACCCTCACATATATCCATATTCTTAATATTGAACCAGCTAATAATCAAACATATGTAACGCACTTTGCCCACTTTTGGTTGCAGCTTGTTTGGAAGTTGTTTCTTTGTTCAAACCAATCAAGTTGGTTGACCCATAGCTTACGCGCTCTCTTAACTACATTTCTTGATTTGTCTGTAATTATTTTCTTATGTATAATTTTTGAACTTTTATGTCGTAAATTGTAATTACCACTGAGAGGTGGGGACCTGGTGTCCTGTGCAAACAGGTTTTAATTACCTAAAACAGGCAACAGCGATCCACAACCAAAATTAGGTTTAAGATTTATTGTATTTTATAAGTGTAATGGTTTGTGGAGAGAAATAAATCTTATTATTATTATTATTATTATATATACTTATAATACAAGACCGTGAGGGTGAAGCCACTAGTGTAGAGCTTGTTTAGATATAAAATACAGATATACAAAGAAATAGATAAACTCAAAATAATTATTCATTCAAGATAATCAGTATTCCGGGTGCTTAAGAACAATCGCAATTGTTGACATTTCAAACTAGAGCTGTGTGTGGCTGATTTGACATTTAAGTAGGTACACCACACAAGGAAGTATTAATTGTCAAACGGACAGAGGTTTGACATTTGGAATATTCTAAAATAATACAACATGGCTACTATAGTTAGCCGATTTATATATCGCATCTAAAAATTAAGAAATATATTGATTTAGGTTTTTTTTTATTATAAGTCTACGCATATATTTACGCTTTTAATGTGAAAACGTCTACTCTTCTTCTCGATGGCATTTAAGTTTTTGTTAATTTTAAGCTATTTATATAAATTTTTATTGACTGACACAGTAAATTATAAATACGTCAACAATACCTATCTATATTGATTGTTGCTTTGCTTCGCATAGGCTCCAAGCTACTGGCTCTATTTGGGCGATGGATGCTGGTGACAGCTTATAGTTTATGCGGGCGAAGTGGCGGGAAAACAGCTAGGGTAATATTCTTAACGAAAAATGTTTAAAAAGCCACTTTGTCTCTGGCACTCTGAAAATGGACTGTTTAAGTATTTTTCATTAAGAATATTTTTGGTATAGCATTGTAGCTAGGATAATATAAATAAGTAAATTGTTAATACCTACATTATTTATTTTCGTTTAGTTTTTCCTAACAATGTTATTATTATAGTTTGTATATTTGCCATATTTAACTTTACATCTTATGATAATTGATGTTTTGTATTTTTCTATAAGAAAGAAAAATTACTTTACTTATTTATTAAAATTTGTATATCCTAATTAAAGTGAATTAGTTATTTACATTATAATTTAGAAACAGCAATATAACTTCAGTTTTGTAAATTTACGTTAGAATTGTAAGCAACGTTCAATTAAAATTTGAAAAGTATTAACATGTGAACTTACTTCAGAAAAGTCTTTAATAACATAGTGGTAAGGTTGTAAATGCGAGTGTCAACGTACATGTGTCGACGTGACACACAATGAAGGCATCTGGGACGATAACACTTGGTTGTATATACAATAGATAGTTGAGGATTAGAGGTAAGTTTCTTGAACTGAGTTGACCCGGTGACCGCTATGATTTAAACATAAGATAAAAGTAGAAACAGAAGACTTTATTTCATAAACTAGCTGTTTTACTGCGACTTCGCCTGCTTAAATTGTAGCCTTTGTTATTTGCTTATGAAACAGTTTCACGCAGGTGAAAGATTTTCTAAATTCGGTCTAGTAGTTACAGATACTATTCGATGCAAATAAATTAATAATCAAATATTTCCTGTTTATAATAGTAGTATAAACTACATTACACCATATGTTGGATGATATTCATTATTTTGAAATTTAAAGTGTTTGATAGTGGGTCTGCGAATTTACCATAAGCCTATTAAAGTTCTCACTTCTGCGACAATGACATTCATTATGGATGAAATCGAATCGAATCGGATGGCCTTCTGGACGAAGGAGCTCAAGATAAAAAAAATTCGGACACCCATCTTATGATCGCTCTTTGCAAAAGTTGTTGAACTACTTTCGCATCGTAGAAGCTTGAAAAATCTAACGCATAACAAATAGTATTTCAAAGAACAGTCACTGATAAACATTTAATGTTATTAACTAGAGTAAACTATTCTGACCTTCGCCTTAACTTAAAGTTCGAGCTACCTACTTAATAATAAATGATTTCGTTTGATATATGAAGTGGGATTAGTTACGCGGTTTAACCTTCATAAAATCTAACGTTTAAATATCACGGTAGTTCCTCTGCCATTAAACAAGTACCTAGCTATAAAAGATAAAAAATAAACCTCATATCTATTCTTCTAAGAAAAATTAGTCACAGTAATGTTATTGCTATGAGGTAAAGAATCTCTTCGTAAAATAGTTACATATAATTTAATATAATACTAATTTAAAAACAGCACTGTACTTATGATGTAAGGATAAGCTTGTTTATAAAGGCATTAAAAAAATTGTTTTGTCTGAAAGTGATACTATCTAACTATCGATATCAACGTAATATCGATATTTTAGATAGTATAGTACCTATTGATGAAGGACTCCTTCAAAGAATTGATATTTCGACTGATTTTTGAGGAAAAGTATCGGATTACTATCGATTGATTTATTGATATTGTAATAATAATGTTGAGTAAAAGTAATACAACAACAACAAAGTAGTACAACAGAAGATATCGACCACTAGCTGTTTTCTTGTGTCTTCGCCTGCGTAAATTATAGCCTTGTCACCCGCGTACGATGTAGCTTTCCGCAGGTGAAAGATTTTTTTAAATCGGGCCAGTACTTTCGGAACCTATTCAATGCAAACCAACAAACAAATAATCAAACCTTTCGTCTTCATAATTAGTAAGATTAATTGTAATTTGCGTTTGAAAAGCAAATGCATTTGCATTGAGGATTAAAAATGAAAGAATTTCACATTTTTCCTCAAAACATCTCAAGTCGTATAAAAACAAAACATCGGTAAGCTAATTACAACCCACCAAGACTCGTCAATACAAAACGGTTTCCAAAATACATCTCGTGCAATAAAATTTAAATCTTACCGCCATTATCGTTGAGTTACATTTTGTACTCGACTCGAGAAACAACCGTGTCGAATCGCAAGTAGGCTGCCTCAGTTAGGTGATGAGCCAGAAAGTCTTTATTGTTGTAAAAGGTAATATTGTGGGTCGGAAATTTTGACACGTATGGCCACGGGTGAGTGGCCATTGAACCGTTAATGATATGGCGTCTTGCCATTTTTTTAATCTATATTTGAACTGTACATTTCGAACGACTTTTCTACAAAATTACACTACTTTCACCCTACTGTCTCGGAAGGAGGGTAATATTTTTCGGATGTTAATTGTATGTCATTAAATTTCTTTGTGACCGTCTAGACTAAGGTTAGTCGTGTTTGAAAGTTTCGTATTGTTAGATTGAAACATAAAAATAGATAATTATTTTGGACGCTACTCAATACACAAACAGCTTTAAAACATTCGGTATTAATTATCGCTTGATAATGTTAGTTTTAGGATCAATCGAGGATGGCTATTATTGGTTCATCAATTGTAAAAAAATGTTGTAGTATGGCATTGTTAAGTGTTTACTAATAATAACGTCCGTATTAAATAATAAATGTATTATACTCTAATGTAGAAAACTGCACAAACAGTATTTGTAATTATAAGTTTTCATTAAACTTGCAGGGTATGAATATATGAGTACGTTTGCTAAATTATGCAACTCAATTTCAATATGTTTAGTCAATTATTTTAAATGTAATATTACTTTTTTTTGTGCTATCGTCATTTCTATATGATTAATTAATCAATCAGTCTACGATATTGATAACAATAGAATGCACATTGCAATAGATTGAGTAACTTGTATTTAGGAACAAAAATTTCATAGATTTGGAATCTAGAGTACCTCTATAACAAACTATGGCATGTATTTAGTTTTTTATCATATTTATAAGTTTATCACTATATCTTTTAAAATAAAAGTTAATATTTTTATTAAAATGGTGGCGTTAAAATAAAGTTCCATGTAAAAACATGAGAAGTTATTCAATTGCGCCTTGATGATATATACGTGAAAGATAGTGCGGAAGACAAATTAAATATATAAAGGTACCATTTTTAATTAAATTTTCGAGTTGATCCA